TGAGAAAAGTATCGAGTTAATGTACACATTATTTGTTTTAAAAACCAAACAAATGTAACTCTTAATAAATTGCTTAATGTTGCCTCTTATAATTCAGCACACCTCGCTCCGTCACCTTGCTCTAAACTAAATAACTGGATTTTTACAAAGGGGGGCGTTGAAATGATTTTTGCTCCTTAAGGGGGCGGTAACGTTAAAAAGGTTGAGAATCTATGATGTAGGCCGATTTCAAAATATCAATACAATAGTGTAAGGTGCACTCAAAAAAACTAGTACAAAAATAGAGCACATTAAGTAAAAATATATCAAAAAAGAGAATATAAAATGTAAATAAAATACAGAACAAAACGTAAAACGAAATCTATAAAATGAGTAGCGAATTCAAATGAACTTACACGCACCGGAATCTTTCAAGAATGATTTAAAATATCATGATTAAGAAGCAAGTTCCTCGGGGGTAATTTCTATTTGACAAAATTGTTTAAGGTTTTAAAATTAAAAATAATTAAAACATCAATAAATCTAAAAACGAATTTAATATTGAGTATATTTTTTTCATAAAAGTGTCAGAATAAGTTCGTTAAGAGAGATGAAAAATTAGCTCCTTGTGGTATTTAATCAATTGGAATAAAAATACATTTTCCATTTTAAAGATAATTACTAAAAAGATAAAAAAAATAATTAGAATTTCCTAATAATCAAAACAACTAACTCAATAACTCAAACTCAAAACAACATCTTATTAAAGATTAGTATAGAAAGGGGAATGCTATTGAAAAGATCCTAAAAATCAAAAGTCGCAGTGAAATTAATTTTATTTTGTTTAATAAATTCTAAAAATGCTTGATTATTACTGATAATCCTAGAAAAACCTTCTCTAATAATGATCTTAATAATTTTATTTACTTAATTTTATAATTTTAATTAATTAATATTTTATCTTATTTATTTTATTTTATATACGTATAATTTAAATTTTTTTTAAATATTTTTTTAATATTTTTTAAAAATATTTTATTTTAATAATTTTCTTTGTCTTCTCTTTTCATTAATCTTTATTATTTTCCCTATTTTTTCCATATTTTTAGCAAATTATTTTATTATTTTTTTGTTCAAAAAGGTACTTTTCTTTTTGGCTCAGGCTGTAGTGTGTCTACCACTACAAAAATACAATTCCAATTCACTGGTATATTAGACATGTTAACTCCATTCTATGTCGGGGTACCTTTCATAGATGAAGGTTGAAATTGTCGATAACTCCTTTTCCCACATTGGTGACCCGGACGTGATGGGAAAACGCTTACCTTGACAGAAACTGCCACTTCGATTTGAACACGCCAACTACTTCGATGGATGGTCCACATTGAACAGTTAACTTGCAGCTTGTGACTGCGATATTATCCAACTCCTTGCGCTGTTGCTACTCAGTCTCTATCACGCACAACGTCTTCCTGTATACACTCGACTGCTCATGACAACGCAGGAGAGGCCATGACCGTGAGGCTCTCACGATCAGCACTCAAAAGTACGGTGATCTTAACACTGAATTCCCGGCTTCTCACAAAACAGCAATGAATCAACTAGTGGTATCCCATGCATCGAATTCAATAAAACTATATTCTAACAGATAAAATTTTGTTGGAGGAGTATTGTAGTGCGTCTACCACTACAAAAATACAATTCCAATTCACTCTATATGACATGTTAACTCGATTCTATGTTGCGGTACCTTTGCATAGATGACATAGTCGATAACATACTCCCCACAAGGCTAACAACTATTTTTATTTTATTTGCAGATCGTTAAAAGGTCCGACAGCGATCGGGTTCTGGTGATAGCTTCAGGAGTGACGTTGCACGAGTCTCTGAGAGCCGCCGATGAACTGTCAAAAGAAGACATCCACGTCAGAGTGATGGATCCATTCACACTGAAACCGATTGACAGGGATTCGATTCTCATCCACGGCAGAGAATGTTCGGGAAATATCGTCACAGTTGAAGATCATTACCCCCAAGGTAGGAAAACAGGAGATCAATGACTTCTTCACGGTGTTCAGGAAAAAATTTGCGAAGTAACCAACTATTTAAAGAAGATTTTGATCAAATTCTCTCCGTTACACTTTAAAAAATTCGGTAAATCCTTAACCAGTATTTGGTGCAAAGTTTCTTATTATCCTAAAGTTCAGTTAACAGGACGTTAAACAGAGAGAGAGAGAGAGAGATCATTTTATTTCAGTTGCACCATAAATTGTGAAGTACGATCGAGAAATATTTCCACGGTGTAACTGACTGCACCAAAATTTGGTAAGAGACGCAAAACTTTGACGGTGACTGTAAACTAAACGATATTTGTTTACGACGCCATGTTTTCTTAAAACTCCGTCTCGGTGTTTCAGGACGACTCATGCATGTTGTTTCGAGTTTCCACTTATTTAGTTAGGTAAAGGGCACATTTACATGAATTTAAGTTCATTTCTTTTTATGTATCCTTTTCAAATTTGGTTGACGGCATAAAATGGTTAGAGGTTTATCATAAAATGACTTCTTACGGTAAGTAGTTTTGTTACTGCAAATAGCTATACCTTGGCCTGCATTTGAGCTCTTTAAAAATATTTAATAATGGTGTAACCTTCCTCTACTTTTATAAAAGAAATAAAAAGAAAATAGATGTTTTGTTTCTTCAAACCAGCTACTTTTGGTGCAATCTTCTACTGGCATTTGGAGCTAGTAAAAATAACAAAATATGGTGAAATTGAGCTCCAATTTTAATGTAGCCAGCAAATGAATACTAATTTTTGGTGCAACGTGGCTCGGAATTTTTATACAGTGTACTATCCAACTAAGATGAGCTGAAAATTTAAATTTTAATTTAAGTAGCCAGTGGCCGATAGACTCTTATAACTTGGTAGTCATTTTTGTCCTCAAACCTAATGAGTCGGTGACCGATATCGACAGGTCCTCTTCATTTAATAGACACTTTTTGAAAAAAATGTTTTTGCTTGGAATGAATTATATTTTTAAAAAAATTCACATTAAAAATATTCTATTGATATAAAAAAAGTTAAATCTATAATAAAAAATAATATAAGTATGTGACAAAATTTAGTTAAACACAGTGATATTAACAGAACTTTAAGTAAAAACATTTGGGGAGGCAAAATAATGTATACTTTACAACTTTGAAATATGTCAGTTGTTAAAAACGAAACTCACCTTTCACGTGAATCTTTCCACCCCAAAATCGATGGATTCTGAAAGATCAGAATTTCAAATTTTGGACATTTTAATATTTTAATAAAAATTCTATTTTCCAGACAGACTACACTGATGTAATTTTAAAATTTAACTATTTTTAAAAATCGATCGGAAATTATTAATAGAGGAAATAGAGAAATTTAAGTCGAAGTTTTTTTTTCTTCTTTTCTTTCTTTTTTTTTTTTTTGGTTGACTCGCCTCGTCACGACTGGTTATTTTCAAGTCTAGTTGGTTTAAATATTTTTATTTTCGCCATCAATACTAGATTTTTTTTACATGGATTACTAAAGAACGCACTTGTCTCTGAAGAAATTGCAGCTAAATAGCGTAAAGTGTTTATTATTAGCATAAGTGTCAAAAGATAAGCTTTGTATTTAATCATATGAAATTTTAAAATAATGTCCAACAAATTATTATAAATTAATTATTTGATATTTTTAAGAAATATCGTTAAATATAAAAATGACGCTTTTACGCATCATCAAAGCAGTTCTATGCACCTCTTAATTTTTGCTTCTTAGTTTATTTCTCAGTTTCGTTGATGAAACACGCTAAGTATCATTTTAAAGGATTCAATGATTCAAGTTTGAAAACTTGTTATGATTGCAATCCCTGTATAGTATACTGGGCTAATGTTTCCATTTTATATCAGTAACATTTCTGAGAAAAAAAAAACGTTTTCCTAGCAGTTAAGTAACCTTTCCACTCAATCAGTGAGCTTTCATAATTTATAGAAATCTTTCTGGATAGGAAACTTAGAATTAATAGGAATAGGTTTCCTATTCCTATTAATTCTAAATTTCTTATCCTGTTTATAAGTTAGATCCAGTATAATTATATTAAAATAATATAATTATTTATAATAATATTAATATAATAATATACTTATTTATAATAATATTAATATAATAATATAATTATTTATAATAATATAATTATTATATTATTATAAATAATTAGTATAATAATGTAATGATATAACTATTTATAAGCTATATCCTGTATAATAATGTATCCTATGAATTCTAAGTTTCCAGTCCAGTATAAGTTTCCTATTATAGAATAAATAAGAAACTTAGAATTGTGGTTGAGTTGTGTGAGTTAGATCAAACCATGTAATGTGGCCCATTAACAAGTACCAAAATAAATAAATGAATAAAAACAATGTTTTTAATGCTCGAATGTTTTAAATGCTTATAATCTTTTAGTATTTTTATGTTATATGTTTAATTAGATGTTAATTTATGTTCAATGTTTATTCTCATAGTATATCTCCGTGGAGTGTTTGCATGCTCCAGTGATGAATGATATATGTATCAAGTGCTGCTGCTAAAAATAAATAAATAAAAATTGACATTTTTATACACACTTGATAGGGTGGTTTTTGAATTTTATATTACTTTACTTTTAATACTTTTTAAACATGAAGGGATTTGTATGTTAAATCACTGATAAATCATATAATTCATATAATTAAATGCATTGAACTAATTTAATATCACTCTTACTCCGAATATTTTTATGAACAGGTGGAATAGGAGATGCCGTGAGTGAAGCGACGTCCATGGAAAAGGACATCATTCTGAAAAGGCTGGCAGTATCGGGTCTGCCAAGGAGTGGTCCAGGAGAGGCTCTCATGGACATGTTTGGAATCAGTGCGAGATGCATAATTGAAGCTGTCAAAGAAATGCTGTAGCATCTGGAATTCACAAAATTCATTTTTGTATAAAAAAAACATTCGAAGCAAGAGATTAGTGAAAGAAGAATGCACTTTTCGTGACTATCTTAATGTTCACAGTGTGGAAACTTTATCAATCATTCGAATATGGGTATCTCACTCATTCAAATGTGCATGTCTTAATAATTTAGCCTTCTGAAGATTTTTCCGAACTTTTATATGCAGTCTTGCCTGTAGTAAAAAACTTAATGTTATTAAATGGAAAAATAGTGCGTTGACGGTAAATTTCCGTACAATTTATCCTAGGATCTCAACGCCTGGAGAGTGAAATACGACTATTGTAAAAAATCTAAATATGACTATTTCAATCCATTGAATGTGACTGTCTTAGTTACCTTATTTAGTTATCCTCTTAATGTAAGCCAAATCAATGGTGCTGTATAACATTTGAAAGTTTGGAATGTGTTTCAATTCTGAGATTTGAATAAATTCTTCTTTTGCACTTTACTAAGTAAATACAAACATGAATCTTATTAATCTGTAGTTGAATATAATGATTATAAATATCAGGGAAACAATTGCTATGAATGCTAGTGCAATATTGTAGAGAATGCGTTTCCTATGCCTGAAATAAGCAGATCAATAATAGAAAAAAATAGAATAGATGTTCAGCAAATATATTATCTTTGCAGATGTTATAGTAAAAAATATTGGTTACATTTACGTCTTTTGTTGACTCACAATGAATTTTTGAAAGAAAATTAGAAAATGACACACAAGTGCTTCAAAGTTTTAATATTCTTTTTATAATGGAATGAGAGGCTTGAAAAATTCGAGAATACATTCTTTAGCCAAACGAAGAAAAGGAAGTGTATCACGCTTCATAAAAACTCTCTTTATCTACTCTAAAAGGTCTATTTTGTTACAAAGATGTTATATATTTCACGATTATTTTTATTCTAATAAAACTTGCTATGTTACATCTCGCAATCTATAAAAGTCTATTGTAGTATTGTAGTAGTATTCTAAGAAATATTTCACAGTTTTGTTTCTAAGACATTCTCATCGATTTCATTGAAACTACATTTTTCTCTCTTTAAATTTTCTTAATAGTAAAGCTAAGTGAATAAAGCTTCAAGTTACATTTTAGTGAACTTGTGCAAAGTGTCTTTAAAGTCTAAATGAAGACTATGCCCTGTCTTTACGAGTGTTTACGAAAGCTTCCAATTAACGAAATTCATTTAAACTGTTTGAGTCATAGCGTTTGCAGTTTTAATTTGAAACGAAAAAAGAGTCTTTCCAAGACAACTGTTTCTGTTTAATGATATTCGAAACTTCCCTCACTCTGAGTACCTCTCTCGTTTGAGATCTTCAAATTTTAAAGACTTATTTAATGTTTGGTCTTTAAATTTCCAGACTAAGTTAAAATTTATTTATGACTAAGTTAAAAAAAAAAGATTTTAATTGCATAAATAGTATTTTCAATAAGAAATCTCAGTTTTCTTTTTCGGAAAAGTCATTTTAAACTTTCTTCCACTATTTTTTATTTTCCTCGTAATTATTTTGAGGCTTCAATAATATGTTATAAAATGTACCAGCCATTTTAACTTAGTTAAATTTATATTTATTTAAAGGATAATTATTGAGTTTTTAATTGTTTCTTAAAAAAAAAACTATTCACCAGATATTAAAGTAGGTAATGAAGGAGGTAATGATTTTTTTTTTTGTTTGGAATATTTACTGAAACTGAAATTCCTAATGGTGTATTGATGTTAAATAAATAACAAAGATGTGCTATATACGTGAGAGCCTTTTATTTTCAATCGTGGTCTACCTCCATTTATTAAAAATGTACACTTAGTCTCACTTCCATATTCGTTCAAGCTATTTCTATATACTTATTAAAACTTCTTGATCTTATTTCTGAAACAATGAACACAGCAATTAAGATGAGGTAAGGAAAATAATTACTATAAAATCAATAAATTTTAATACAATGTGGACCAAAATGAACAAAGATGGAGTTGGCCTGTATGTCAAAAAATGTCTTCATATGATTCCTTAAACACGAATCTTCTAATTTAGAGAAAACATTGGAAATTATTTTGATTAATGTTATTAGTCTAAAAGTCATTACAACTTTGTATACTGCCGAGGAATAAAAAAGCACCTGCGATAATTTCTAAGAAATCCACTTGAATATTCTTATTAAGATTTTTTTTTCTCTGAATAAAATCATCTTCATACGGATATGTTCAATACCTTCTCTTTTATGAGCTTATGAGTTCATGAATAGTCAAAGAATATATAAGGTGCTTCGATTTCAACTAATGGTTTCATAACCGTCGTTGAACTGTCAACCCAATAGTGGGTTTACGTCTATCAATGTTCAACTCAGTAGCCATGTAATTTTGAACCCGATCCAGAAAACAAGGGAACTCCTGAATCAAGTATTGGGTGAAATTTGCCTTCCTGGAGGACATTTTGATCGAAATAATCCACATTTGCGTTACATGGAGAGGAAAACTACGAAAACCTCAACCGGTTAGCTTGACAGCACGGGGACTCTAACTCATGATCCGTCAACCACTAAGGATATTCTACGCTAGCTCTGCTCTCGATTCGTGCCGAGTGTAAAATTCGAATCGACCAGCCATCGCTCGGATTCGAAAACAGCTCACAACATGGAGAGGCGAATACTCTTTCCCCTGAGCTTTTACGGCTCCAACTAATGGTTTCAAAAATTTATAACTGGAAAATAGTTGAAACTCACGCGACACGACATAAATATTGAGGCTTGGTGGCTAGGGGGATAGAGAGTTCGCCCCCCCCCCCAATGAGGTGAACCGGGCTCGAATTCCAACAAAAGCTGTTCAATACATATTCCGCACCAGGCTTCCACCGACCACATTGCTGAAGTAAAATATCATCAGTGGTACTCTACGGATCATGGTTAGAATTCTCTAGCCATCAGACTAACCGTGAGAGAATTTCATGGTTTTCCTCTCTATGTAATGCAAATGTGGGCTATTTTAATCGAAAAGTCCTCTACAAAGGAAAATTTCGCCCAATACTTGATCCTTTGTTTCTTGGATTGGGTTCAAAATTGCAAGGCTACGGATATGAATATTGGTAGCCTAAATTGTAAAAAAATTGTCTTAAAAATCCGCAAAAGTGTTATTAAATTTTTGTTTTTTTAAGTATGCATAAAGATATTTTTCAGGAATTAGAATATTATTTAAATGGTAAACTAAATATTGGCCAAATATATGAAACATTTTATTTTTTTAAAAACTAGTTAATTTGAAGCCACTGACTAAACAATAATAGTTTATAAGAAGGCACTAGCAAGAGAGTTCTATACAAAAAAAAACTTAAAAGTAGCAAATTTATTATAAGACTAAAAATAGTACAATTTTTTAATGATATTTATTTCTTACTTCACTTATTGTGATTAAACATTGAAATAGTTGATTATTTTACTACTTTTTCCTTATAATTTGAAAATCGAAATCAGCATCTGATCGCATAATGAGAACCAAACCTCATATCTAAATTATTTTAATATTTTACAGAGTATTGTCCCACTCAATAAAAATCTTGGACGGGAAATATTAAAAAAATACATTACATAATGCAATATTTCCATAACATGCATCTTAGATATATTACACAAAAATATGGATAATTTGAAACAGTCCTTATAACTATGCATGAGTTTTGTACTAACGGAACTGCGAATGATTTATACAAAGTTTAATTTTTTTTACAATGTTTCTTGCAAAATATGGAAAGCGTGGAAAAAAAGAGTCATAAGTACAAGATATCATCCTTTCTTTTTCCTTTTTCTTTTTTTAAATAGTCTGATATTTTTTTCCAGACAAAGTTCTGTAATGATCGTCCCCAATATATATTTTTAGAATCCTTGTCAAAAATGAAATTAAAATAAGATTTAAACATTTAGAGTAGCAAGTAATTATTAAAGCAGGTGAGAAAAAAAAACTGTTATCTCATATTGTAGAACTACTATTGATGAAGGAAGTATGAGAAACATTAAACCATGTTTTATTGCCCGATGAAGCGTTTTGCATTATTCATCTTAATCACTTTCTGTTTCCCTCAGCAGTTAAAAATGATGTTTTCAGTCCCGCTTTCCTGAATGGGAGTGAGATGTCGTTTATGTTTTTGTGTTATTGACGCTTAATTTGCGNTTTCAGTCATTTATTTGAATAATGTGTAATAAAAGGGAGGAGTTTGGAAGCCACTAGTTAAATTTTTTGAGAAACGGATATAGTGAACTCCCGGTTATAGTGAACCAAAATTTCGGTCCCTTGAAGGTTCACTATAGCGGGGTTTGACTCTACTTATAAAAACATCTTGATATTATTTCAGAAGCAACGAACACAGCAATTAAGATGAGATAAGAAAAATAATTACTGTAAACTCAATAAATTTAAATTCGATGTGGACCAAAATAAAGAAAGATGGAGTTGGCCTGTATGTCAAAAAATGTCTTCATGTGATTCCTTAAACATAAATCTTCTAATTCAGAGAAAACATTGGAAAATATTTTGATTAATGTTATTAGTCTAAAAGTCATTACAACTTTGTATACTGCCGAGGAATAAAAAAGCACCTGCGATAATTTCTAAGAAATTCACTTGAATATTCTTATGAAGAGTTTTCTCTGCGAATAAAATTATCTTCATACCGCTCTTCTTTCTTATGAGCTTATGAGTTAAAGAATAAGCAGAGAATATACAAGGTGCTTCAATTTCAACTAATGGTTTCATAACCTTCGTTGAACCAATTGTGGGTTTACGACTTCCAATGTTCAAACTCAGTAGCTGTATAATTTTGAACCCAATCCAGAAAACAAGGGAACTCCTTTATCAAGAAGTTGGAGAAATTTGCCTTCCTGGAGGACATTTTGCTCGAAATAACCCACATTTGCGTTACACGGAGAGGAAAACTACGAAACCCTCAAACGGTCAGCTTGACAGCACGGGGACTCTAACTCATGATCCGTCAACCACTAAGGATATTTTACATTAGCTCTGTTCTCGATGCTTGCCGAATGCAGAATTCGAATCGACCAGCCATCGCTCAGATTCGAATCCGGCTCACCACATGAAGAGGCGAAAACTCAATCCCCTAAGCTACTACGGCTCCAACTAATGGCTTCAAAAATTTATAACGGGAAAATAGTTAAAACTCATGCGACACGACATAAATATTAAGGCTTGATGGCTCAGGGGATAGAGAGTTCGCCCCACAATGAGGTGAACCGGATTCGAATCCCAGCGATGACTGTTCTATACAAATTCCGCACCAGGCTTGCACCGACCACATTGCTGACGTAAAATATCCTCAGTGATAGACGGATCATGGTTAGAGTCCTCTAGCTATCAAACTAACCGTGGGAGAATTTCATGGTTATTTCGCCTATTACTTGATCCAGGAGTTCCCTTGTTTTTTGGATTGAGTTCAAAACTACTAGGCTACGGATATGAACATTGGTAGCCGTAAACTCAAAAATTGGGTCGGCTGTTCAACGACGGTTATAAAATAAAATAAAAAAATTAAATATTTCTTCCCGAGTTACTATTTTTAATTCAAATGTTGTCCAATGTATATCGCTGCAAGTTTCTTTCATCATTTTTTTCGTTGCGTGTTTAGATCTATAAAAATTTCGTTCTCCGATTATAGCTGATGGTAGACATTTCAAAATATCATAACGTTATTTACATCCAGATAAAAATCTCTAAAAAATTTTTATATTATTTTCAGTTGTTTTTCTTTTCACATCTCTATATTATTACAGCGATAGAAGATGCAACATTCAAATGAGATTTAAAAAAAACGATTACAATTAACAATTAGAAATTTTTTTTTTATTAAAACAGGTTTACTACATGCAGCGCCATCTGTTAAAAGAATTTCGTACAAAAAACAGCAAGTTTGGAGGAAAAGATCTTGCTCTTTCACATTAATTTGCAGCAAGAAGTATTTCTTTAACCACAACCGTTTTCCTATTTCATAGTAGTAAACACTGCAAGTCTGATTTAGGGCAGTATATGATTAGAGAAAAGCATATGAAATATTATTGCATGAATTATATGCATTGTACCTAAGCACCTAATTTCAGAATTCGACTTTAAGTTTCGCTTAAGCAAAGTGAGTCAGAATAACGGCAGATCAAATCTCTCACAATTCAATATGATTGACGTCATATCTACTCACTATTCATATGCAAATACTAATATTTGAAACAAAAATTGGGTTGCAAACTTTTGTATAGCATTATTATGAGAAATATAAATATAAAAAAATTGTCTTAAAATTCTGCAAAGGTGTTATTAAATTTTTTTTTGAAGCATGCATAAAGATATTTTTCAGGAATTAGAATATTAATTAAATGGTAGACTAAATATAGAAGGCACTAGCTAGTTACAAAAAATTTAAAAGTAGCAAATTTATTATGAGACTGAAATTAGTACAGTTTTTTAATGATATTTGTTTATTACTTCATTTATTGTGATAAAATTTTGAAATAGTTGATTATTTTACTATTTTTTCCCTGTAATTTAAAAATCGAAATCAGCACCTGATCGCATAATGTGAACCAAGTCTCATATCTAAATTATTTTAATATTTTACAGAGTATTGTCCCACTCAATAAAAATCTTGGACGGGAAATATTATAAAAATACATTACATAATGCAATATTTCCATAACATGCATCTTAGATATATTACATAAAAATATGGATAATTTGAAACAGTGCATGAGTTTTGTACTAACGGAACTGTGAATGATTTATACAAAGTTTAATTTTTTTTACAATGTTTCTTGCAAAATATGAAAAGGGTGGAGAAAAAAAAGAGTCATAAGTACAAGATATCATCCTTTCTTTTTCCTTTTTCTTTTTTTAAATAGTCTGATATTTTTTTCCAGACAAAGTTCTGTAATGATCGTCCCCAATATATATTTTTAGAATCCTTGTCAAAAATGAAATTAAAATAAGATTTAAACATTTAGAGTAGCAAGTAATTATTAAAGCAGGTGAGAAAAAAAAACTGTTATCTCATATTGTAGAACTACTATTGATGAAGGAAGTATGAGAAACATTAAACCATGTTTTATTGCCTGATGAAGCGTTTTGCATTATTCATCTTAATCACTTTCTGTTTCCTTCAGCAGTTAAAAATGATGTTTTCAGTCCCGCTTTCCTGAATGGGAGTGAGATGTCGTTTATGTTTTTGTGTTATTGACGCTTAATTTGCGATCTTTAATAATTACTTTATTTTTGACTAAAATTGTAAAGTTATATATTTGGAGCGACCATTAAGGAACAATCTGTATGCAATGCGTTTAGTAAAAATTCTAACAAATTATTACTGAAATAATTTCTTTTTAATCGAAAAAATTTCAAAAAATAATTAACATTTACAACCAAATCAAAATAAATAATTTTTCAATGTGTGCGTTTTTTCTAATAAATTTTCGTAAACTTTATAAAGTCATCTTTTTTGTTTCTGAGTGTGCAATTTTCAATTACACACCTTTCTTAGTTTATTTTATATGCATAAATGAAATTAAAGAGTTTAAAAAAGGCAGGGACATGAAGAAAGTATTAAGTCACTCTCACTTAAATTCGAACAGAATAAAAAACATTATTAAAAATGTAAAGGTTTTCTTCATAAGAGAGTAAAATATTCCTTTAATCATCCTTCCTGCCGATTTTTATCTAGTTACCAACATGCGTTCGTATTTCATGACGCTACCATAAACAAATTTAGGATATTTCATGACTTGTTTTTCAATTAAAAAAAAGAGGATCATACGTTTTTTTTGTAGAATTTTCATCTTAAACTCAAACTTTTTCGAGTTTGTTTGTCTCAAGATTTATTACAACGAATGCATAAATGCATAATGAATGCAGTTATTATTTTATAATAAATACAGCTATTTTAAAATAATTCTTAAACTAAGAATTAGTAATATGTAACCAGAAATGATAAAAATTAAACAAGTCAAATTGTACTTCGTATATTTAATGCAATAAGTCAAAGGGCAAAATTAAGTATTGCAGAATGTCAAACTGAGCAACTTTTAGTATATTAAGTGAATCTAGAGAAGTAAATTACTATTAGTAGTAATACTGTTAAAAATTAGTGCAAGTAATACTACTAATAATTAGTACAAGTATTGCTACTAATAATTAGTACAAGTCAAACTGCGTAGGTTATGTTTAGTGCAGCAAGTTAAATTGCGAAACTTTCATTGTTCAGTACAATAAATGAAATTGTGTGGAATTGTAAGTTTAAGGGTGTCCCAAAATTAACGCAAGGTTTGAATTAAATAGAAAACACAGTTTTTAGTCTTTAGATTGTAATTTTTTCATTGAATCATAGGGTTATTTATGGAATAAAACATCGGGCAAATGGCATCCACGGATCTGCTGGCACATGCGCACTCTTTTGTCGAAATTTTTCATGACCTTTCTGCATAATTGTGGCTGAATTTCGTTGATGCAGTATTTAATTTCCTCTTGTAATGCACAGGTGGTTGTGGGCTTGTTGACATAGACCTTTAACTTCATATAACTCCATAAGAAGAAATCTAATGGTGTTAAATCACATGATCTAGGGGGCCAATTCTGATCTCCGAAACGAGAGAATACACGACTAGGAAATGACAGAATTATTTTTGAAATATTGTTCAATAATGAAAACAAGTTGTTGTATCGTATGAAGCTCCATTTTTACAAACCCTAAACTCTCAGCTGTCAAATTGTTTTGTTTTTTTCAGGGTTGCCAACAATTTACTGCGAAAATAGCTGCAAATTTAAATCTTTGCGTTAATTTTTTGACACCCTTACTAACTATAGAGCTCCAAGTCAGTCTGTGCAAATTTGTAAGTTATGCTTGTAGTAATATAAATGAAATATAATAAGCTAATGTGCTGCGTATATTTCAAATTTAAATAATGGTACCGCTAAGTTAGTCATCACTTATGGTGCTAAATAAAATTTCAGGTTTTGATTTAATTAATTTCAAACTTTTTATATCTCAATCATCGAAGCTGAATTGAGTAATATTGTTTATTTCTGGGAGATAGAGGTCTTCTTGAGACTGCGTCAAGTGTGCCAGTACTTCTTCTTGATTTATTGGCTTCATCATTCCAAGGCAATCTGAATCCTGAATATTTTCCATTTCTGATGGAATGGTCATATTTGAACTCTCTGAGGTAATAGCAATGTTGGATATTTTTGCTTCAAACAAGCTATCAATGGATGGTAAAAGAGAACTTTCGAATTGATTTTTTAAAGAACTGCAAGGCATATAATCATCATTAGAACTGTCGATTTCAACAGTAGCACTTGTTTGATTGTACTTGAGACTTCCATCCTGTAGGTGCTGATTTGAAGTCATATATCTGGTGCTCAAACTGCTACTGGGTACCTCAAAAGTACTCGCTATCAAACTGCTGGTGGCCTGGGACATTTGTCTCGAGAGTATCCTGGCAAAAAGTACAGTGTTCATGTCGTCGTTATTCAGTGTCTCTGACAAGGCTATGATGTAATTTCTGGCAAGTCTTAAAGTTTCGATCTTCGATAGCTTTTGGGACTTACTGCGGACAGGTATGTAGTCTCTTAGCTTGTCCAAAGCAGCGTTCAGACTGTGCATTCTGTTCCTTTCTCTGGCATTTGCCTTGCATCGACGGTTTCGAGTTTTCGCTGCTCGAGATTTAGTAGATTGTTTTCTCTTTGTAGTTTTCAAAACTGAGTGGGAGTGAAAAGAAGCCGGGAAACGACATTCAGAATATTGTCGGACAGTGATTTGTGGTACTCGTCGGTTCATCTCTTATTCCAGCACTGAATTTCCGATCGTCTAAGAATTTTCACTTTATGATAAAAATGAATCATATATCTTTCATAAATGCCATATACCTGGAAAAAAAAACTTCCAATTTCAATATTATTGTAGTATAAAAAAAGGTAAAATAAGCTCAATTCAAAAGTGCTAAATAAACCTTTTCGTAATCGTGTGTATGATACAATTTTTAATTTAAGAAAAGCAAGAATTAGATAAGTAGGTAGGTACTTTATTTACGTCCCACTAGGGCTGCACAATGGACTATTGGCGATTCTCTGGGAAACATCCCTGAATATGATTCGAAGACATACCATTACAATTTTGATCTCCTGCAAAGAGAATGGCTCCTCCGCTTTGGTAGCTGGGCGGCCAACGAGCGAAGCCCAGCTCTTCACTTTAGAACAGCTAACGAGGAACGATATCGCGCAACGCAGGCTGATCAAAGAGATCACCCTCTCGCTTACTGACCGCAGCCAGTGATGCTTGACTTCGGTGTTCTACTGGGAACCGTGTCTTTACCATCAATTCACTGCGGGACAGCAAAAATAGAATAAAATCTTAGAATGTATTTGACAAATCTATATTAAAGTAAAAATATAAATAGGATCGTTAGAAATAGCAACTAACAAAAACTGTGACAATACTAGGAAAAGTTTATACTTTTTGACTGTAATAAGGAACAGAAATGTTAATACAAACATTTCTATAGGAATAAAATTATCCTTTTATTGTGAGTGAATGAGAGGGAAATCATGAAATCCTCAGAAGTTTTGCAGAACTTAACATTAAAACTGAAATTCAAAATAAATTTAAACGCCTTAGATTTAAACTTTTTTGATTCGAGAAGTATTATTTAAAAAACAATTTTTAAAAGTTTAAACTATAAAAGTTAAACCGAAAACCCCAATTAAAAACTCAATTTCAACAAAGCTAAAATTATTTCCATCCCAGACACATCAGATCATCTTGATGCCTTGGAATCTTGCTTTATTCCAATGATTTCTAATTCCCTCGTTAACGACATTAACGGTTTTTCTTGTTAATCACCACCTCTCCCTAGCACGCGAAAATTCCTTTTGCCCTAATTTGCCCCTCTCAGCCACTGTGGTTCTTTTTGTTTTATTTTTCATCTTTTTTTCTCCCTCGGCTACTGAGGTATTTATAGTTTTGTTTCTAATTTTTGTTTTCTTATTTTCTGTTGATAACTTTACGTTTCTTATTTCAAATCACTTTTGTTTCCTCTCCTTCACTTCTGACCAGTCTTGAAAATGAATGCTCGTTTTTGGGCTCTTGAAACATGCCAACTGTTATTTCCAATTTACATATTTTTGAAGTGAATAAGTTTTTCAATCAAGTAAGTACGATAGAATCGTTTAGTATTGGATGTAAGAGATGTGTTCAGAGATCTTTTCAGAGAGACAGAGAGAGAGAGTAATATTCATTTATTTTAAGGGAGTCGCAGTTGTAAGTTTGAGATGGCCATAAGCTAAAAATTTGATTATCAGTACTTAATAAAGCATTTTATTTTGTTATTAGAATTAAATCAATTGGGTATAATATAAAAAAACACAACTACTTCCACTTTGTAGGAATAACATTTACCATGACGCAATGCTAAATTCTATGCCACTATCCACATAAATGCAACTATCCACATAAATCAATTATTAATCAAAAATCGAATATCAATTACTTTTCTTTATAATGCAATAAAATCTGGTGGCAGCTATTTAAACGATCAAACACTTCGTTTGTTTATTTGTGGCTTGAAGTTAGGCTCGCAGAAAATGCCGTTCATGGGTTAAATTTAGTAGGAATAACACAACCTGTGACGTAGGCTATAGTATACCCAATTGGTTCAATGCACTCATTATACATTCTAGCTATTACAACAGTGTGGAAACCCAAGTATTTTAAATAAAGATCACGAGGTTGCTGTAAAAAAATTACTAATTTGCATGCCTAATGACCTCTATTGGGAAGAATAATTATAAGGAAAGCAGTTCAATTTTATTCTAAAAATAATCTGTTTGTGTATTTCGTTAATTACCCTTTTGCTGTGATTGACGTATAGCATCTTTTCTATAGTTTTTTTACGGTCTCTCCCATTTATATATTAATTTGCTACATTTAACGATCTTATTTTTGACAAGATTTTCCAAAATGTGCTGCAAAATTAATATCACAACCCTAATGTCAGGACTCTTAAGAATAAAATTTAGCGACGTTGACAAAAGCACGAAAGATTGTGAAGCAATAAAAATGCAACGCCAATATCAAAAACGTCACGTGCAAATTTTCTTTCTAATTTAATTTATTTTAGAGCAGAACAAGACTGGCTTTTTGAAAAAGTAAAAAATTGTTTTGGATGTTGTTAAAAATTCGGTTTAATAAATGAATATGCTTCTTAATTGTCTATTCAATTTTCCATTTACGCTACAACAAAGTTCTAATTAAATCATTGGTGATTCTACTATAGTTTAGACCCAGATCCTCCGGCTGCTCCCTCACAATTATACAAAAAAAAATTGCTTCCATACAAAAAAATTTTTTTTAAAGTATACACTAAGAACGCCCTGCATACTATCCAGAACTCCCTGTATACGAGTAAAATATACAAACTATCCAACACAAAAAGTATTAATGAATAATTACATTTTTTTAAGGAAAAGCAATATTATATATTATTAATAAAATAAAACTATCTGCTAAATTATGTCTGAAGAGATATCTAAAACATTACTTTATAATGGTTTACGAATAGCCTTAAATGGTATTGCAATTAAAATCAACAATAAAAATTTAAAATTTAATATTGTAATGTTAAAATTTAATATTGCAACAATGTAATTTAAATTTTACATACTCCATAAATAAAATAGATTTCAACTATTGTTTTAAGAGAATGTTAAAAATAGAGCGAAAATAGGATACTTACGTTACCCAGAACATGCAATAATGGGAATTTCAAACTCTCCATGGATGTTATCTTCCCAGTTTTATCTCCCACACCAAAATTCATTTTTCTATGAGAGCAGAATAAATATTGTCCTGCAAAAAATTAAAATATCCTATTATTCTATTTCAGGAAAAAATCGAACACTTCTCAGCTACAATTATGTTGTTTTACGTTTTTTTTCCTTCAAAAAATTAATATACTATACAATTTGCAAATATGTGAATGCAATTTGAAAGTAGCCTTCGATACAATATGTAGTAGAATATAAAATAATATATGATATTGCGCAATATATTCATATTGTACAATGTTGTAGAATATACATTATTTAGCAAATTATGTGACATTATTGAGAGTCAAAAAATAGCATGCTATGCAGAATATCTTTTCATCTAATAAACGGATTTTCATATATTCATTTATTCTTAAAAGTCCCGGCATTAGGGTTGTGATATTAATTTTATTGCAATCTTGTCAATCATTGCAATCTTGAAAAATCTTGCCAAATATAATGTCGTTAGTGTAGCAAATTGAATCTTAATTCAAACTTGATTTAAACTTCAAATCTGTTGCAATGATGCATAATGGAATAGATCATTTTATGACGTAATGAGAGACATTGCAATGAGCTCGTAACAATAAAATATAATTATCATTCTAAATAACTTTTGATCTAATGATTTGATTTTCGTGTTCTGAGATTCAATAATATTGATTTAAAAGCTAAACTATCAACGGTATGTGACATAGTAGTTACCCTTAATATATGCTTTCAAATACTTGAAAATAATGGAAAAAAACTATGCATATTATGAGTCGAAAAACTATTTTTAAAGCAACTTTATCAAAATCTAACGAAAGACTATTTTGTTTTATATTTTATATTATAACCGTCATTGAACAGCAGTCCCCATTTTGAGTTTACGACTCTTAATGTTCAACTGAGTAACCTTGTAATTTGAACCCAATTCAGAAGACAAGTGAACTCCTGGATCAAGTATTGGGAGAAATTTGCATTTGTGGAGGAATTTTTGATGGATATGGACCTTTGATGGACTTTTTGATTTACATGGAAAGGAAAAAAACGGAAACCTCCCGCAGTTAGCCTTACGGTAAGGGGACTATAACCGGTTACCTTTCTACCATTAAGGATATTTTACGTCCGCAATGTGGCCCGTGCAAGCCGGGTGCAGATTTCGTATAAACCAGCCATCGCTTGTATTCTAAACTTGGTATCTTCATTGTTGACAAACACCATCTGTTGACAAATCACTAATGAAGAAAGTTAAAACTAAAATTATCGAAATCAGTGTAATTCCGAGATGAAATATAAAGATGTTTATGGTAGCTGCCTTTAACCTCCACTCAATTTTCTTGGGCCCTCAAATAGCTTTGATATTTCACTACCTCAATAACTTTTCGTAATGTTTCTTTTTCTTAAATAAGATATACATTAGATTTAAGTTTAAATAATATTTTTACTCACTTAAAATTGGCTTGAAGGAATACAACTCAGCCAGAACTTTAGGTTCCTGATTTATTCCTGAAATGCTTTTACTGAAAATGTTTCTAATTACAAAAAAGGTTTTGCTCCTAAAAGAAACTGTACTCGTGTGAATTGGGTGCATAAGATTTTCAATATATTCCAGCAACTTTACTGGTTTCGTTTTTTAGCTTGATACTTTTAGAATTTTTAGCATATTTACTAAATATTATACTTGTACTCTGTGTATCAAAACCGTCGTCGAACAGCAGACCCAATTTTGGGCTCACGACTACTAATGTTCAACTCCACAGCCTTGTAATTTTGAACCTAAACCAGACGATAAGGAATCTCCTGGATCAAGTATTAAGAGAAATTTGCCTTTGTGGAGAACTCTTTGATGGAACTTACCAGCATTTGCGTTACATGGAGAGGAAAATCACGAAAATCTCCCACTGGTTAGCCTCACGTCTAAAGGACTCTAACCCTTGATCCACTACAACTGAGGATATTTTTTTATGTCAGCACTGTGGTCGGGTGCGGAATCCGTATTGACCAGCTATCACTGGCATTAACCCGGTTCACTTTATTGGAAGACGAACACTCTATCCCCTGAGCCACCACGGTTCTAGTACTTTGTCTAGTACTTAATAAGCATAGATTTATCCTTTGTGAATTATATCATGGTAAAAATCGCCTTTTTTTTGGCTCTTTGGGAATCCCAAAAAGCTTGTTAATTTTTATCGAACCACTCGGATAGTGGTTTTGGAAAAATTAACAATCAAATATGGTCCTATAAGATTTAATAAAATTTGGTAAGTGTAGTAAAATTTGGTAATTTTGTCAAGATACTTTATAGCATAGGATAAAAACCATTTAATCGGTTAAGTTCACTTTTCAGTTGCGTACGTCTTCAAAATGTGTAGTAATAAGAACTATAATTTCGGAAACCAGAATATCCGGTAAACTCTTAATATATGAACGAAAAAATTACCAAATGAATGGTTCAAATACTGTATATATATATTTCATTATTAACCAAAATTATGTTGTTGTTGGCTATTTTTTTTTACCAGAAATGTAATTGCCATAGAGTACGATAATTTTAGCAGAATTTCCATTTAAAGAAATAGGTGATAATATAAGCGGATAATTATAAGAAAAGATGAGTCAGGAATACATTTTTGAAATCTTTTAAAAACGGTTGAATACTTTTAGTGCCGAATTATCTCTTACTGAGTACACAGAAAACTTTCCGTAAATATTCAAAAAGAAAAATTTCAAAATGTTTAAATAATTCACATTTGCTATTTTTGTTACTATAAATAAAAATATCACAAGCTAAAAGCTTTCAATTTATCTTGAATATAAGTACCACTTACATTTTAATTTGTCGCTATTAATTTAAATTGATTGTAGTTTTTCCTTTTACTTAAGTTTTTTTTAAATTTTACATAAGATTTAAAATGTATTTTTCAATTTCCCGAACGCAAACTATAGCATTATATTTAGAAAAATGCATCTTTTGTACTATTTGAAATATTTCAACAGATTGTTGAAAAATTAAAATTTGTAAAACCTAAAAACGTATTCAAAGTTTCAGCGTAATAAAAAATTAATCGGAAAATTTATTTACTAATATTTTCAAAATCCAATTGAATATTATATATTTCATTATAATGTTGTATGCGTAGAGGAAAATCGAAATATTTAGAATAACTTCAAAATAATAGGCATCGTTCAACAAACAATTATAGTTATTAAGTGTATTTGAAATTTAAGTTCTAAAGAAATAAATAATACCACTTAATTCTAGTCATATTTATTCATAAAGTACAATAAAAGCAGCAACAAAAAATAACTCTTTTTTATATTACATTACTTTGAAATTCTAAAGAAAGCCACTTGGCGAAAAGTTAATACTTCATTCCGTTTCTTGCATTATTAATTATATTGATTTCCTCATTTTCAGCTATCGTCGTTGTAAAAATAACACATAGTTTTGTTGCCAAAGAAACTCTGTGAAATAAATTATTTACAATTTACTACTCGCATTAAAAACCAAAAAGTTTCCAATATTCACTTTGTGTGTATATGAATTTTAATCATTTCGTCTTATAAAAATATTTTGAAAAACTATTTTCTTAAGTAATAACATTTCAATCATGAAATAGTTAAGGAAGAATAATTTAGATGTAATTTTACTATTTTTTTAGCTTGCATATCACATTATAAACAAACAACGTCGTATAAGTGCAAGTAATTAAATTTGCTCCTGGTATCTGCCTTATCAAAGATGTTCTTTAAACAGTAAATAAGTGATCTTTTATTGCTTGGTAATCAAGAAAATATGGAAAATATTTTAGAATGACTTAGCTGGAGATAACAATTATATATTATGCAATTATATAGATTATACATTCGTAAAATAAAAGAAAAATGTCCTAAAAGGAATGAAAGTGATAATTTTCACTTTTAGAAACTGTACAATCCATAAGATTTAAGCAAATATTTTCTTGGTTTTTTTAAACTAAATACCATAAAAGATTTGTGCTTCGAAATATAAGGGGGAAAAAAAGGATAAATATTTTGATTTTGACATCAAAATATTGCAACAGGATATTGGTTTTAATTTCCCCTGAATGTGCAATTTTTGCTCGAAGAAAAATATTTGTGGCATTTCTTCTTTAAAAGTTCGGCAGCGAATGTCTTCATATAATGATTCAAAAACTATAGCAAAATACATCTTGAATACATAAAGGAAGATAACTCACAGAAAATTGGTCTTATATTAGATTGTTAATGTAAGAGAGGTCTGTGAATATTTGTTTTGGATTTTAATGTTTCGAGTTTCATTATTTTATTGATCATTCCTTACGACCATATTCTCAGTTCAAAAAAGATATTAAATTATATCATGTGTTTGTAAAATGACGTTAAAGACAATTAATGCATGGAAAAATGATAAGACTGCTAATTTTAACAGAGCCCATTCTAATTTTTAATGTAAGAGAAGTCTATGAAAAATATTTGTTTTGGATTTTAATAATTTTAATATTTCGAGTTTCATCATTCTGTTAAGCATTCTTTATGGCCATATTCTCAGTTCGAAAAAGATATTAAATTATATCATGTGCTTGTAAAATGACGTTAGAGACAATTAATGCATGGAAGAAGATAAGACTGCTAATTTTAACAGAGCCCATTCTAATTTTTAATGTAAGAGAAGTCTATGAAAAATATTTGTTTTGGATTTTAATAATTTTAATGTTTCGAGTTTCATCATTTAATTGAGCATTCTTTACGGCCATATTCTCAGTTCAAAAAAGATAGTAAATTATATCACATTTTTGTAAAATGACATTAAAGTCAACTAATACATGGAAGAAAATAAGGCTGCTAATTTTGACGGAGCCCACTCTATGGACAATATTTGTATTGAACGGAAAAAATTTTCGTATTTTCCATTTAAGATTTCTGTTGTACCTCTCATACATTCATGTAATTTTGATAAATGTATCAGGTATATATCTGACTTCTGTAGCCATCTCTGAATTGCGTTTTCACTTTGACAAAAAACTTGGTGTGGCATATGTGTTTATT